TATTACATATACATCCATCTGCCATTGATTGAACAATAAGTCAATATAGTATTATCATGACCAGTAGCCAGTAGCAGATAAAGATAGGCACAGATTTTTATTATAGGATATATAGGATTTTTACTGGCACATACTTTTATCATCAATATCCTGATTGGCTATATTTAATATCTGATTATAAATTCTGATTTGTACAGTACAAGTCAGCCACGGCAGCCACAGTCTCACATTTGCATATTAATTTGACATTTTTAATCTGACAGCCTGTCTTAACTCAGACTTGTCTTGGGACAACACACACTTAAAGCATGCATGCAATTATGAAATGGTGAATTCTAGATAGTAACCTCCAGAGGGATGGTCTGTGTGATTGGTCATTAAAAGTGAAAAAGATTAGGAACAGGTTTATAGGAAACACGCGCGGAAAAATATTATGGTTAAAGCAGCAGTATCTTAAAAAAATAAGCAAATTTTTCACCTACTTTATTTTAGTTAGTTAGCGTTACATTGGTAATTAATTAAGGAGTTGTCGTGTGAATTTTCTTGCACAAATTTTCTTGCTCTTATGATAATGGAAATCTTACTAAATCCATAAATGTTGTAACGTTTAGTGAAAGAAAAGAGCAGAGCAGGTGTCGTCTGGGGTGTCTGATTTGTTTTTCCGATTTATGTTCATGTGCATTTTTCAAATCGAAAAACACATGAATGCAGCATATCCATCACTAACCTTATGAAGTATATAAACTTTAACAACAATAAATACAATGTTACACAAAATATCTAGTGAGCGTTTCCACACGCTTCATCTCCGAAATATTTAGTTTGAACAGTACATCAAATCTACTGTGAAGACTCTGCTTTTCTTCTGCATATATTTGCCCGCATATAAATCCTTCATAATACCCAGTGAGTCAGTTTACGCTCCAGCAGACAGGAAACTAAAGGCTGTCTCACGGATTTCACTCTCAACTCTTCAGCTCCTGGAAATCAAACTATGGCTGTGGCGGCAGGGAGCCAGTTTACTCCAGTGAGCGGGGAGATGATTTTGTCAGTTTCCCCCAATATCAGACCAATGACGCAGTCACCGTAGAACTAAAGAGCAGCCTGGTGTGATGGCTGCTCTCAGAGGTGATGAGGTGAGCATAGCACTGATGGTTTCCTGTAGATTGCTGAATTTGCTAACGGGGCTGTTTGTTGTGGACTGGCAAAAAGTGTCATTTTGCTGTAGGTTGTTGGTGTGGTTGAAATGCCTTCATGCAAAAAGTGACAACTTTTGCTGCTGTAATGCATTTTGTTTTGGAAATCCGTCCAGGCTGTTTTTTCTGTCTAATGTGGTACAGGGACATCTTATGCAAAACTGATTCTCGTGATCTTTAAGACATGTTATAATCTTGATACCTCATCAAAAACATACTCAGAGTTAGGGTTGGGCAGTATCCAAATTTTGATACCGTTAAACCTTCTCAGGTTTTAACCGGGGTACATGGTATTACCGCATTACTAAAATATTTTAGTATGACTTTGGTAAGCTGCGAAGCCGCACTGCTATACGGTCTATGCATATGACCTGTAGACTTGTAATCTCTGAAAAATTTCACATGAACCATCTCAACGCAATACACGCACAGAACAGAATCACTGTCAGCCGCACATCCTCTGTCGCAGAAAGAACACGTATAATCCACTGAGTCGTGTCCTTTAGTTCGATGGAAGCTGACCGCATCAGCCACAAGGAGTGAGTTGTTTTTATCAGCAATTTATAGTTTATTAAAAATGAGCCATGCGGTTTTAAGATTCATTTCTGTAAAATGTATGCAAATGTGCTCCTGAAGCCAAAATATTGCCAAATTGTAGAAACACTAATATTTTTGGAGGAGACCAACTTACTTGCAGCCGGACTTGCCATTTTGTCTTAGTCTCCCTTCTGAGCTGTCACATGACAATAGAGCGAAACTAATCGAACGTCATCTCCCCAAGCAGTTAAAAGAAACATTATAGATACTATTACTTTTAAATCATGATAGCATTAAATTGAAAATACAACCACACATTCGTTTGTGCTGAGCAAACAAATTTAAGTATCAGTAAATTATAATATTATATTAGGTCCTTATGCGCTGCAGATTTTTTTAATGACGTAATGAAACTGATACCATTGCTACTTTTTGATACTGCGGGATACGATAATACTGCATTACAGCCCAACCCTACTTGGAGTTATGTTTTGTTTAAATCACACGTTTGGGTAATCCTGCATTATTAGTCTGTCTAAATCTCCAAAGATCAGAATGTTCTTTTCCACATAATGAAGTAGTAGTTTGGCAATTCCAGGGTTGAAATTATCCAAATGATTCTTGTGAAAATGTGTGGAGTTTAAAAACACAATGGAGCACTTTCTCTGTCATGTATTACCAAATGACATCACAAGGTGGAACAGAGGGTTTTCCATCAAGCTAAACATCCAATGTTTGTATATTAAACAAGTATGATTAAAACAAAACACAACTCCATGTATGTTTGTGATGAGGAGACAATATTATAACATAGATCGGAAAACACTTGCCTTTTACATTTACTTTGTTTTAGGACTTAATGATGATTTTATAATTTAGACAAATATTTCTGGTACTGGTATTTCCAGTAATACGTATTTATTATTACTTACCAAAAAGTCTTTCTTCAGTGTACAACTATACTGGACATTGTTGAATGTTTTGTTTTTGAGTTTTGAATTGAGCTCACGTAATTCAATTAAGACTTCTTAGAGAATTATTGAAGTGTTCAAATTGCTTTCTCCTGCTTGTACCATCCATCAACTAAACCACAGTCTTATTTAAATATTTTTTATAGCTCAATTGTGGTATTGAGGCATTGATTGTGCCAAAATAGGATAATTGCTTTTGAGCCTCAGAGTGTCCTAATCTATGCATTCAAAAGAAGCCTTTATTTATCTGTTTTTACTTAATTATGGCCCTTTTTTAAAATTTTCATTCACACACAGAATTGTGACTATGATAAGGATATGGGGTAACTATAGTAATACTGATAAACAAGAGCAGTACCAGTAACGACATTACTAACATATTCGAAAGGACATCAGTCATATGTTTGGCTGTCTATACTACTGATACACTGATGTACATTTAAAAATCACTGCATTGACATTCAGGCTATTGTGATAACATATGGAGAAATGCCAGCATTGCTTTATACTATGTACTGCACTATAGTGTACTATTGGCAGATTAATGCCTTCCTTCTCCTTGAAAGGTTAGATACTGGATTATATGTCCTGCAAAGATTATTTTTTTTGCTCTTTTAGACACTGCAGGACTTCATAGTTTCTTAAAGAACTTTATTTCTCTTGGCTCTGTCTCTCCCTTTCAGCTAAAGAAAAGCTCCTCTCCATTGATTTCCTGTTACTTTTCCACCCAAAATAGTTGGCTGTGTGCTGTGTCCCTTGTGTGCGCAGAGCTGTTTGAGGCGAGCGACGCAGGCGGGTGGTGTGCAGAGAGCGGAGCTGACAGAGAGAGCCCCATGACAACGAGTCCCAGACCAGGAAGCAGAGTAAACAACGTGCGCACAAGAGGAGCACAGCCGTGTCTCCAGTGCAGACAGGAAAATAGGAAGAGGAGGGTAGATAGGATGACACAGCGTCTGAAGGTTTCTGGAGAGGCTAATGAGTTTGGCAAGGCTCCCTGGGTGTTTGCTGTAAAACTGAAAGAAAACATGCATCTACACATAATCCGGAAATGTAATTATGTCTAGTGAATTTCATGAACTTGTATGTGGAGTGATTTGTGCATGTTTGAGTAATCTTTAATCACTTATTTTCTAGGCCATATTGCCGGTCAACCCCTCTTCCGGCATACACCCCCTAATCTGTACTAACATTAATCAGTGATGCAGCTTTGATAAACTTAATATTTCATTTTAAACACTGTATCCATCTTTCTTTTGAGTGTCTTATCATTTTATGATGTCTAATGTGTACATTATAACATAATGATAACATAGTCGTAGTAGTAATAGTGTTGTAGATTATAACTATATAGCAAACTCAAGCACAATATTTTTTTTTAAGGATTAGGGCTTTACTATAATTTATGCAGTAAGTGAGCATCCACATTAGCTTTAGCAACAAAATAAATCAAACCAACAAGCAAGAATCTGAGTTGACAAATAGTTTGATGATCATTAGGCCTAATCAATACAAAACAGATGGGACAATACTTTTTTGGGTTTGATAGTTAACATGCACTTCTTGCACTAGTGGGAAATTGATGGTTATTTTTCTGTTTTATGATCAGATTTGTGCTGTAGAGGGTTGAATTATGGACTTCTATGACTCATTATACGAACTACGTAAGTGTTGCATTCTGCTATTTATTTTATTGCAGTGTGAGTTTTTGACAATATTGTATGGTTAGAATACTTTTTGGGGAATAATTCTGCTTTCTGCTCTGGTTTCTCTTTTATATTTACTTCAGCAACATTCACTTCAAAATGTGTTACCTTGACTAGTGATAATTTTTAGCCCTTTGTTTGAGTTTAGCACAGTGACCACAGATGATTCCTTGTGGCCAGTGCAAAGCAAAAATTGCATTATTCTCTCATTTTAACTTTTCGCTGCCATTAAGTGGTTTGTAACAATTATCTGACTTATGTTTTACACCATACAATGCCTTACCCACAATCTAAATCTACTTATCTGAGTACAGAACCGGCAAAAAATGTACTATGACTTGTGAGTGTGGTTGAGTGGTTAAGATTGCAGCAAAAATCAAATTCTCACTGCTGAATATAGAGGCATAGATGGAGACCAGACACTGTTTGTATTGACCTGTGAATATTACGGTTTTGCCATTAGAGCCTAAAAGTAGTAGAGGGATGAAGAGGCATTAGAGATATTGATGATTTGCCCAGATCAATATTCATTTATGTTTTTGCTAATGGGTGCATTGGCTCTTACAGTGACCTTTTCTTTCTATCCATTTCAGAAAACTTGTACCAGCTGAGAGGTCCACACTGTGCCCCCCAGAGCAGCATCGAGGGTCAAGAGGACATGGAGGTGGGGTCATTATTTACCATTACACAGAAATATGGTCTCTCTTGTTGTGACGGTGCAACTTAACACAAATATTTGGCTTTCAAGGCACTTTTATCTTTTTCAGTGGTAGAAAATGTGGCTAGTTTTAGATCCTGGTCAAAACTGAGTTCAAAAGGTAGCATTTAACCAAAAATATATTGCACAATAATAAACCTCAATAATTGTGTAATGGCTGCAACCAGACTTGCATTGAACCCAAAAGTGATATTTGTCATATGAGTAAATAAAGAAAAACCCATTTCTTTAAAACCAGTGTTTGTGTATCTTGAAAAACGCTATGCAAGTGTTGTGCAGTGTGATATGTATTATTATTATTATAAATCCAAAACTTAACCCTGATTCAGCCAGATAATTTCTAAAACTAAACTTGACAGGACAAGATACGAAAAACTAGCTCTAAATCAGAGGATACAACCATGTACACATATTGGTAACTTCAGTAAGTAAATCTTTACTCATCTACCTACTCATCTGAGCCTTTACAACTCTTTTACAGAACAAATGTAAGACGCATGTTCTGCTGCTGGTGGTCCATGGGGGGAACATCCTGGACACGGCAGGTGGAGACCCCAACACGAAGGCAGGTGATGTGGCCACTCTGTCGTCTGTGCTGGAGAAGGTGACACGGGCGCACTTCCAGGCCGCGGTTGAACACGTGATGATCAAACTGGTGCCATGTCCAGCTGTGTGCGCCGAAGCCTTCTCCCTGGTCTCCAAGTGAGTGACACACAAACTAATCAGATGTCTGTTGGGCTCATTCTGATGAGGTGGGTCTTTTACAGTGGGGTTTGCTAATTTATAAAAGTTATTATGAATGTGATGTAGTGGGTGAAGAAAATGTCATTCTATCAGGGATGGTCTGTTATTTTTTCAGCAAATAGTCAGTATTTCTCTTCCTCTAAGATTTGTGGTTGATTTTGGCAAATGGTGATATCAGCCTTTTATATTCTTCACTCACAGTAAAAGTAACTGGATGCTATTTTCTCACCAGTAATGCAATAATGTTGCATGTCAAACAGTATTTGTTATGTTTTAATACATCGGCATCCAGCAGTGGATTAAAATATGGCAATTTTTGGTTAATATATATTAGTGCCAATATATCATCCATACAATGTACTGAGGTTTAAAAAAAAATGCAGACATTTTATTTGTGTCAATAGCATAAGAGTTCTGATCTGAAATTCTATCCAGTCATCAGACTCAAGGATCTAAAGTGGTTCTTAGACTTGTGCAGCAGGAGAAACAGATGTCATATTTGGAATAGGAAAGTTAGTCTTGATTGAAATGAACATCAGTGAGAGATGGCCCATCTCTTACATTTTTACCTCAAAAAATAAATAAATCCACTCATAGGAGCACATTTGCTGGAGTGAAAATATATGAACATTCTGTTGCTAAAGCACAGACAGTGGTGAGTAAAGAATCAAGTTGATTAGCAAACTGTGTAATGATTCTATTCATTTTTACCATTACAAAATGCATGTCTAATAGTAACAGCATCCAGACAAAACTTAAAATTTAGTGTTCTTTATGCTGGTCCTACAAAGAAAAAAAAACAGCTGAAATAGATGAGAAATTCATGACTATTTTTTATTTTAATGATCCAAACCCGGGCAAAATCTAGTAAATGCTCATTAAATAATTAAACTTGCTTTATGGGAAAGACATTAGGATAAAATAACCACACTTGTCAGATAAGGCAGTTAAACTCAATATTATCTTAAACAAATAAGCACATCCCTACATGCCCTTTATATTTGTTTGGACATATCAAGACACAGTGTCACATGACTGGTTGACCTGGTTCACTGTGCGGTTCCCTTCGTTATGACAGAAAACCCCACTGCTGCTGCCCTGTCCCTTTAATGCGGTGTGAAGAAAAATTTCTCTGCTCTGTCAGATGACATCTCCTCCAGGTCCTGTTCACCCTGCTCATGGTGGACGGGCATAGGTGGATATATTTACAGCCCCCTGCGCATGTCCACTCACTTATGGACACATTACTGGAGTTAATGGACCATTCCAACCCATCTGCATAACAACACCTGTGGACCTGACAAAAAATGATATAATGCAATGAAAAGAAAAATACATAACTGCATCTTGTTGAGATTGTTGAAGTGAGATGAAGATTCAAAGTGGCAATAAATATGAATTATTATAGTCATTTGTATAATCATGTTTGACTGCACTTTTCTTCATTTCTTTTCTTGCATTTTACAAACTGATGATTCCTTAACTATCTCGGAGACTTCGTGTGGATATCCTGGATTATGAGTATAAACTGCCATAAATGTAATGAGCTATTGGTCTAATTAAACAGAAACATCAAGAGCAAATGGAAGCGGATTAACTGAGCTATGACACATCTCGCCTCATGTGTGACTCAGATGTATTCAGAGGCACTTGAATAGCATGCGTCACCTGTCACCCTGCCTTCTTCAGTCCGATCTGGGACAACTTATTGAGCGGTTAGTCATCTGCTTCAGTCCAGTCTGATAAGCAATTCTCACAGGGAAAAGGCATGTTTCATAATCAAATTATCTGTACCACTCAGATATCAAAGGAAGACAGGATGCTTTATCAGTGAGGCATTTCAGTCATTTCAATAGAGAGGACATAACCAGTAATAGGCATCGACTTTTCATCTTTTTTCACATAATGTCCAGTTTTTATTAAAGGTGCACTATGCAACTCTTTGGTTGGGGGACCATCACCTGCTTGTTTCTATAGATATGTCATTGCTCTGCCTGGAATGTTCCACAGTATGACATTAATCAGCTCTACATTTATTACATTTACTCTATTAAATGTGGTTTTACTGTTCACAAAACCTAGAAAACCAGGCTTTCTGACTCTGAGTGGGATTGTCTCCACAGATCTGAAATCTAACTTCTGGTCTGGTTCAGCCTGCATGAAGATAGAAAGGTTTAATGCCATATTATGAAACATCCCAGACAAAGCACCCTTGACAGACCCTCCACCAGCAAAGTTACACAATGTACCTTTAAATTATTTATGTAAAATATCCACAATAACCCCATACGAATGACTGTATGTGACAAGGCAACAGCAACCGAGTCACACCAAGTTGGGAATGAACCACCAAACAACCCCGCTCTCCAAGGCAGCTGTACAGTATTAAATAGGGAGGGCGTTCTGTCTGGCAGCCTCAGACTATGCTTTCTTCTCCTCTGACTGCTCAGTTTCACACAGGAGTAAATGAACCACACATAGTGAAGCGTATCTACAATCTCAAACCCAGACTTCTTCACCTGTCTGTGTATTGAGAAGGAAAATGTGTTTACGCATCAATGTTTTGTAAGATTATGAAAAGGAACTAGTTACTCAGATGGAGTAATTAGGTGACTGACTATTCATTGTTTCCCCCTTAAATCCAGTTCAATCTCTCTCTTCTTTACTCCTTATTGTGGTAGTAGCTTAAATGGCTTTAGAAACACAATGAGAAAGGTGCATAGGCCGTTGCTGATTGGGAAGCCCTTTTGAAACATGCCTGTCTACTGGAATTGACATGATGGGCAGAATGCTTGGCTCAAGGATAGAAAAGGTTAATTAGAAAAAAATATTGACAAAAGCCCAGAGAGCAGACAGTGCACTGCTAATTAGTATGCTTTTGACATTTTTCATTCCCAGGCAGCATTTAACCATGAGGAATATTTTATGCGTAACCTTTTTAATTGTTTTGTTGAATGACTTAGCCCCAAAGGCCATCACATCACTCTCTATCTGAAATTCTAAGAGATATTATTATGCCGTTCTCTTTTGATCAAGGCTTGTCTGATCTCTTTGATCTAGAGGGGTTTGGGGACATGATTATTATGTCACGGCTGTCTAGCCACAGTTAGGTTTTTTTTACACATTATTAACAAAATCAGGTGTCAAAGGTGCATTGCGTAACTTTTCTGGAGGGCCGTCTGCCAACTCCTTGTCTTCTTGGAAATTGTATTGCTTTAGCTGGAATGTCCTTTAATATGGCATGAAATTGACTTATCTTGCTTTTATTTTGCTACAGGTATGTATTCTTACAGTAAGCGGTCTCACCTCTCCATAGCTCTTACCTGTAATTTAGCCTGGTGGTGTCACCTACTTATTTTGATGGAGATGGAAAAGTTGAATGCCATTCTGTGGAACATTCCAGGCAAGCAAAGCAATAACATCTCCATGGATACAAGCAAGTGACAATTTATTATTTTATTATTATTTATTCTTTATTTCAGACACAAATATTATTCATAGTTAAAAAGAAAAACAGATTTCAAAAATGTATGGGGTTTCTGTGTCCAGTGCTTTCTCAGAGCATCGTGTACCTTTAAATATAACCTTCGTTAACAGGTCAGTTTCTGCTGTTTCACTTTTGGCAGCTGCCTCTTATTTGAGTCGCTTCAGTGTAACTATAATGTATTTCACGTTTACTGTCACCCTCTAGCTGGTCAGTGGTTTTATCTGTGACAGCTTGACATTCTCATTCTTTAATTTCTGTGTTGAGAGCTGTTAATAAGCGTAGCAGAGGGATGTGGCTGGCAGCCGGGTAGAGCCCTGTGTCTGTAATTGACGTTACAGAGAGCGGCGCAGACTGTAGCAGAAATAAGAGGAGAGTGCCGTGTGTGTGCTCCACTTGGCTTGCTCATATTAGTCCACATGAAAAATACACGACATACATTCCACATTCCACAATACACACAGCAGTCAGCCACAGTTAATACCCCTGTGCTATGTGCTGCTAAAGGACACATACATTATACATTCATACTAAGAATTTTAGATTTCTTTTTAATTCATGGAACAATCTAGACTTCATTACGCTAGTAAAGTAGACAATTATAGTGATAAACAATCAAACCATTTTAATAATTTCTTTATACCTACATGTTTGAAGTATTGGATCAAAAATGTACTGAAGAAATTGTGTTGTGATTAAGGCTGTTGTCAGTTTAAGAAATTCCTGGTCAGCTAAAGACATGTCCTGTCGATTGATTAGTCGATTTAAAAAGTGGGCGTGGCAAAAGCTCTCAAAACTTTTACGTATCTCGATGTATCTGAACCCAAACTGCTCTCACAAGGCTACACCTGCAAGAGAGTTCATGAAAGAATAGCTACCGGTATTTATGCAAAAAAAACAACTCTGAAATATAAAATCAGGAATCTTGTGAATCATTAGTTTAGTATGCCATTTTACATATAAATCCCAAAAATACCAAATCTCCAGCTAACTCACTTACTAACATCTCCTTTCTGCTGTTGTCTCATATGAATCCTTATAATCTACAGTAAATAAAATAAGATGTCAACCAATACAAACTTTGGTCAACTGAGACAGCATTGACCAATTAATCGACTACTCGAATAAAGGGCTAAAGCAGTAGTCATCATTATATGCATAAAGTGTATATTTTTCCTGATAGCAAACTGATCCAACTCCTTTTTTGAAATTGTAGTCAGTATTGCTTTTACTTACTATTCAAGATACACTCATCCTTTTATGTGTTCTTTCTATAGCTTTTTAGCTCTTACTTATAAAAGCAAGAATAGATTTTTGTTGATCTTAGTTGCATTTTCTGTTTCCATTTTTGAGGTTATATTAACTTTTTTTCCTCCAGTAAGTTTTTGTTATCAGCTTTTGTTTTTGTTTTTGCTACAGTACACTGGTCACTTTCCCACAGGGCTACAGTCTACAGAAGGAAAATAAAGAATAC